TATTGTTTTCTAGAGTTAGTCTTTCTTGTTATCATCGTTTTGTTTTGAAGAGGAAATGTATTTTTTAGTGTTTGCGTTTTTGATAAGTGATTTGAATGATTATTTGTGGTAATCATTTGTGCCTGTTGCGTTGCTTATTTCTGAATGAAGATCTTTTTAACAATGACGTTTGCGTCGCATATGCCTCTTCTAACTATATGTTGTGAATGCCCATTTAGAGTCAACATCTTTCTCATCAGATGCAATGCAGGCTTTGGGTGTGCGTATTAGTGTAGTGAAGACTCACACTCATACCCATCACGAAACTCATAAGGTCATATTTCATAGAATATATATACTCTTCGAAGGCTTTGCCTTTGAAAGCTATTAGGACTTGCAAACGAGTGAGTTCTAATTTAAAAGATATTGAAATTAATGTCAACTGAAAACACTTTCGATTGAAGTTATTTTGAAGCATTTACTATCCAAAAACTTAAAAAACGAAAGTGTAAAAGTCTTTTATTCCTACAAAGATAAAAACAAACATCCAAAGAATGCAAGGACTCCATTTTGTCCTGGTTTCAACATCTATCAGGTCATCTCTGCTTGCAGAAAAAAACATCAATATTTCAATCATGTTCCATGAGATGATGATGATTCACTTTCGCAGATATTAAAGGTACTAATTGCAAATTGTACTTAGAAAATATTGAATAGTTCATTGTATAAAAGAAAACTCAAAATGGAAAAATGGAACAATTTCATCATGCCAGGGGAAAGAATGTTTTTAAAACGAACTACAAACTGACCCACATAAGCATACATAGATAGACATTTTCTTAATTAACTTCTAGACTTGAGAGACTTTTTAGTTTTGTGAATAAAAATAAACAATTTCAAAAAATGAATCATTTAAAGTTCTGCAAACTCTAGATAAAGTCTAGGAAAAGTATCAAATGAATAATTATTTAAATATTTGTCTTCTATCACGCATTTTGAGGTCCAAAAAAGCATGCTACTTGTCATGGTCTGTAGAAGAGGAATGAGGCCAAGTGTCTTGCTATGTACTAAACACTCATTTCCAATAATGTTTCGAAAAATAGCACGACAGCAAGTCTACTAGTGCACAAGATGCTCCGTCAGAAAGAAATGGCTTGTGTTCAGATGTCGATCATCTGCTCTCAGGTGCCAATCAATCTTGTTTTATACCGACCTTCCTGACATTCTTCACTCATCCATATGTGCTAGTCTCTCTGACTGATTTCTCTTGCCCACATGGTATTATTCTTCATCCAGAACTTATTTGGATTGAATGCTTGCATTAGTTCTATTAGCGTTGAGAATTGAACAAAGCACAGTCAGCAGTTTTCGCGCTTATTTTTCATTTCTAATATACTGTAAATTATTGTTTCATGCGACTGGTGAGACATTCTAGTTTCACATTGATTATTTTAGTCTTTCTTGCCATAAATGGTGTAAAATATACTCGTTTACTGCTAGGATTTGTGTAGACACGTATAGCATCATATAGTTCCTGCTCAGTTGCAATTCATAAATCATATTTTCTCTTGAAAATGTCGAGACAATTGAACTGTTCTAGAAAGGTCTAATCAATGACCCTTTTTTTCTTTCATGAAAAAATGAAAATCATATCTTTGTATTCTATCAGAAGATCATTATTCTTAAGAATTGCCAAGGAAGAAGCAATGAAAAACTGAAAAGTGGTCAATAAGAGAAGCACATTTATTAAGAGAATGTACTCTGATGCATTGTCTCTTGAATGAATTTCCTCAAACACATAGATTTTGCAACTTTCTTGTACGATAGTCATGCTAGAGGCAAAATGTATTTAATTTACAACATATTTAATTAAGAGTGATAGATAGAAGTAAGAAAGTCCAACAATAAAATACAAAAAACTCATAATGTCTTTTCTTGTGTTTACTTGAAATTTGATATCTGAGTAACTGTAAGCTGGCAACAACGAAATTCAGACTATACATTCACTTTTTAGAAGTCAGCTTTGCATAGTAGGACATATCACCGTTCATTTGGCTGATAGATCAACATATTCGAACAGTATATTTTCAAATACATAAACCTTGTCCACATCATATCTTGAAAATGGTAAGGATTTTCTAGCAAAAATTCAAAATCCGACCGAAATCGATTTGTCAACGCACTAGAAGGATACTGTGCGAAACAAGCATATTTTAAAACCCTAGTATCACTCATTATATTCATTTAGGTTCTACCACGACAACAACTACAACAAGTTCAGTTTGTAGTTTTTGTTATGTTACTACTGGTGGTGGTGGTGGTGCTAATGTTACTTGTGATTCTTTTTGTACTAATAATCGTGCTTGTAGTACTATTGGATCTACTGCACCCACTACCAACTGTCCTGGTGGTAATAATCGTGTTTGTAACAATATTAATGGTTTTCGTTGTTGTTGTGTGCTACCACCTGGAGGTTAAAAACTTTACGAGACATTGGCTAAGTGACTTCGAACATTACATGCTATCATTTGACTTCTTCACATACTTTTGCCGAACTCTTTATCTTCATAAACTTTTGATGTTATATAAATGCAATCTAATCTTGAAGAGCGTTTGTGTCGTCTTTACTTTTCAAAGAAATTTTCAGCATTTGTAGATCTGATCTAACACGAACTCTAATTGAGATTAGTTTCATATAACGTAAAATATTTTCAAGATGATGTTTTAGTCAAGAACAGCGAATTCGCATAAGATGGCTAATCGCTGGCGAATATTTAATTAGTAGTTAGTTACCTTATTCTTAATTACTTCACTCAGCTTTTCTCTTTCTATTTTGCTTCAGTGAATACCATGCTTTTTGCCTTTTAGGAATTTTATTTTTTATATTTAATAATCGTTTTGATGTGTTTTAATCTTCTTAATAAATACTATATTTACCAATACAGCAAATATATGCGAATTTATTGATGTAATTATTTTCCGATATAGTACAGAAGTACAATGCTACAAAATTTTGACCTCATGCGTCTTTTGAGTCTCTTTAAGAACGATACCAGTGCACCTTATACATACGAAGAGTAGATTTTGTTTTATTTTATCTGATGGTGAGTAAAAGGGCGTGACAAACGTTACCCGATATTCTTTTTTTTATAGAAATATTGCAACTGACAAAATAAAATACTCTAGCTTTCTGCCAGAAAGTCCAGCACTTGATTAACGTAGGATATCTGAAGTCAGAATTCTAAAATTTCTTGGACGGATTCGCTGTCAGGTTGTTTCCAATCCAGCTCAACTGATTTCCAGAGCATTGCAAATAACTTATGGCCATGGTAGGCAAAGAAAGCTATCTCCACTATAAATTAATATTTAGATACTATATTGATTAAAAATATCATATATTGGTGCTCACTGGGTCATCCTTCAAAATTATATGTATCGAGACTGATATAAAGGTAGATATGTGCTCTATGTTACGATGGGTGCTGCAAATTCTTGCCTGCGTGAAATGTCATAACTGATAAATATTGTCCGAAAAAACGATTCAATTTCCAAATCTCCAACTCGTTTACAAGGTGTATTTAATTGCAGAGGAAAAATGATTCAAGCAGTCATAAAACATGTTTCTGAACGTGTTTTGCCGCACATCTAGAATTCATAGTAAGACTTACTGATGTAATGTGAATAAGAGGCAGGTCTGTCAAACGTACCCCCTTTTACGGTACAATACCCCATCAAATGCTTCGTACTTCAGAAAGTTTGGTACCCCTGGGGTACACATTTCGTATCTCATTTAGCTTTTTAAATCTTCGTTGCGATATACTAATATTCTAATAAAAGTAAATTAGGTTATCGAACATAGTTTCTGTCATATTTTTACGGAGGCATCTATAATAAAATGTGTTGGCAAAGAGTTGACCGATGAATATTAGCACCCCTTGTATTTATTTTATTTTGTCTTGAGTTATCCAATTTTCCATGCACCTTTTCACTTCCAAAATCAAAATGAACTTTAATGAATCTTTTCCTTCTTCTAATTATTTCTGTTATATATGATTAGTACATAATATGTCAAAAGTTAATTTAGATTTATATTTCTACTCAAAGGATAGGATAATCATGTCTACATGTAGTTGGACGAAAATAATACAATACAAACTTCTGAATAATCAGAAGCAGAAATAATAACAACATTTAGCAAACCTTCTAGTTCTCTAGAAAAATCAACTATCAATAGCAAACAAAAACAATAAATTCATCAGTAAAGTCGAAAAGTTGTTGCACTGTCAACAAGAAATAATCGAAAGATTCTAAATATACAGCATTTCTCAGAGAATGTCAAGCTAGCTTTTATCTTGTACATTGCTCTACTTGTGAATCTAATTTTTCTATTTTGAATGGAGGTGTTTATCTTATCAATTGACATGCTGAACAAGATAGTCATAAACGATTAGCGGAAACAGAAGCTAAAGAAAAATGTAAAGTATAGCATTGATGCGAGATAACATTTCATTGCACGCAAGTAAAATTAGCACTCGATTCAAGTATTTTCAGTTCAGAATCTCTTCCTTACCTATGTTGAGTTCCTAATCAGTTGTGTTAGGTGAAGAATTTCATTCTCTATTGTATGGTACCATTTTCGAGGGGGATCGTCGGGCCAATTTTTTACCTTGGGTGTGCCCTGCTCGAGAGTGGGAGCAGAGTGTATATAATGGTTTCAGTGGGTGATGGGTGTGCATCAGATTATAAGCGAGTAGAAGGACAATCGTGACGGATGGATGATCGGTTCAAACTCCCACACACACTCTCATCTACCCCTTTACCTTCGCGCAGACTATCACCCACACTCAGAGCACACCCAAAGTAAATGTTTTGCCAGACGATCCCTATAGAAAAGGACACCATTCGATAGAGAACGAAATTGTTCATCTAACATAATCGATTAGAAATCCAACACAAGCAAGAGAGAGACTCGGGACTGGAAATACTCGAATCCGGTGCTAACTTTACTTATGTTTTTTAAGAATATAGTTTAACAGTGACAGTGCTTTTTGTGGAAAAAATGAATAATAAAGTTGTTTTCTAATAGAAAATAATCAAATAGAACGCTGTTTTCTGTAAAAGAAATTTTTTTTCAATGGCTTTTCCAACAAACCTTTCTATTTCCAAAGAAAAGTTGTTTGCCCCAACGATGTCACTCATT